CTTCAATAACCCAACAGATCTGATACATTTGAATACTCGTCATTTAGGAGAGTTATCTGCTTTACTTTCTATTGATATGTAGTAACTGTTCTATTTTTAAATAGAAAACCAGATGGTAAAAAAAAATTTATATTGCATTCACTATTAGCAATCGTAATTCTTATACATCCTGCATTGCATAATATAAACAACACAAGAAGAAAACACAAACTATGATTTATTTCGATTTCACTTTAACAAGCATCTTCGTATCATCGGGACAGTTTTTTTTCTGGAATTCTTTGTTTGAAAAGACCAATTTTTCGCTTCTGTAATTAAATTATTCTTTTTTTAGTTTTAAACTTCGGTTTTGATGCTAATTTCGAATGATATTTTGAGAAATAGTTTGATGTAAAGTTAGAAATCTTATGTTCTACCACTGAAAATAATAATAATATTTAAAATAAATATTATTCTATTTTTAGGCAAACAATATAAGTGAAAGACTTTCGAGTGAAATCATAAACAGAAGGTCCATGATGTGTGAGGATCGACAAGCCTTTTAATTACCCGAAAAATATAGATGAATATATTTTTAATATATAAATTTTATATACTTCACATACTCTAAATAACTTTTACTAATATGTAATTTGATTGTCATTTCTTCATCTTCTTTCGTTCCTCCCTCTATATAGGGCTATGTAAGGGAGTAAAAAAACAAAGTTAGTGGTCCTCCAGACTTCTGAACAACTTGGTCCCAAGGTCCAATTATCCAGTGACAATCGACAAGGGAAATACCTCCAACCATAATCTTTTGTCTATTTGTAGCCATTTTGGGAAGTAATGTGTGATTTCCAGTTTTCTTGATCATCTTATAAGATGTCAGTTGAGTATGTGCGCCTTTCAGTCAACATATCTGACATTGTCATTTTAACAACAAAAGGTTTTTTTGACATCTTCAGGCGTATACTCACTAAAAGGACCTTATTTAAGTTGTCTACTTATGTACTAATGTAAGCCTAGGTTAGTCGAAATAAAGGTATCGCCATTGTTTATACTTCGTCATGTGAATTGAGGATTTAAAAATCTGTCAAAGACTGGATATAGTTAATTTCGGGCGTATTTCAGTTTGTCACCTACAACTTAGTTTTTCCAAAAAGTTGTGATAAAGTTGTTTCCCACGCACCAAAATACATTTATTTTTTAATTATATCAGTGGTTTTATATTTGTTTATGTATTATAGAAACACTTCTGCTTTCTCTTTCTTTTTTATTTCTCATCACAAAACTAGATTACTTTCATTATTAATTTAATATTTTACAACACATTGTTAAATCATATTCAAAAATACACTAGCAGCTTTAATATTCAAGTAAATATGATTTTATAATGTCAATATCAAAATAAAGTTCTTTTAAAAGTGCATTTCTTTATTGACATATGTCATAACAAGAGTAGCAAACATGATAAAAAGGTTTCTATGGAAAAAAGTAGGAAATTATAAAAATGGTTTGACATTGCCGCAAATGTCATTTATTTCTCTTTACACCAAACACTATAAATCAGCTATATGCCGTCCCTTTTTCTTTTACTTTTTTTTTCCTTCGAGAAACCAAATTTCTAATCCAGGAGTAAACATCTAAGTTTTACTAGAAGCTAGCAACTAAAAAGTTCAAATATCTGAATTTTGTTTATTCTGAATATTATTATTATTATATTCTTATATTATTATAAGAATATATAATTATATAAGAATATAATAATAATTATTATATATCTTATATTATTATATTATTATTATTTTGAACTAACTAGAATACCTACAAAAAATAAAAATATGATTTATTTGTCCAAAAACAAAACAATGATAAAAATAAAATACAATTTAGTCAAAATTTTGAAATAAAATAAAATAAATGTAATTATTTAGGTAAACACGTGCAACAAGTTTCCCTATTTTTAAAAACTTTTCATAAGTTTTTCCTCATGCCAAAAAATGAGTTTTTCAAATATACTCAATTCACTAACCTAGGGTTTGCTAACGCTGAGAAATGTAATTGAGAACTGTTTAATTGTTTATAATTAATATTTCTGAACTAAATCAAAAACTTGCTGCAGAGATTATTAACATTAAAATATAAATCTATCTATAAGTCCAAATTAGGAAATGAAAACTAAAGCATTATTTTCCTTCCAAAGAATAATTTAATTTAACACTACAAAGTAGAGATGGGCATTTTTATATTCAAAAATATAAATACAAATACCATTTATATTTACAATACTTATGAATATATATTTATTCATATTATATATTATATATTCATAAAAAAGAAATATGAATACAGATCATACGTATTCACAGTTGTAAAAGTGAATATTGCTGTATTTATACTTGTAAAAGTGAATACGGCTTTATTCACGTTTATTAAAATGAATACGCTTAAATTTACGGAAGTGAATGGAAATATTTTCGCACAAGTTTATGAAAGAATACTCTTATTTATTTAATAAGTATTAATTTTCAGTCACGTACAACTTAACTCTCCTAGGATGTATAGTTCGTTATTTTCCAAAGTAAAAAAAGAAATGATGCGAATATTAAAATACAGTTCTGTACAGTAAGGGGTTTATTGAATTGAATCAACTTCTTCGAAAATGGAATAATGTTAAAAAGCTGGTGTTTGCTAACTCGAAATGATGTATACATAAACGTTTCATTTTATCAAACATAAAATTATAGTTATGAATATTTAAAGATCTTAGGGGCATCCTAGACATAGGCACAGTTTTTTATTTTTGGGGGGAGGGGAGGAGGAGGAGCATCGCCTCCAATCCTCCCACTAAAAAAAATTCAGAGGGGGTGAGAATATTGGAATTTCTTAAAGAACCGGTACTGTCTTGCAAATGATTGAAAATCAAAATCCCGATCATTTTTAGAAAAAAGACTAAATCAATTTACGAAAGGATAGCTGACGATTTACTATAATGGTTTTGTCATAAATTAATTTTAGCCTACATAAACTAGTTATTTTAATTAATATTGAGGTTAATCATGAACCAATAAAATAAATAAATGAAACAGGTTTAAAATATTTTTGATAATTAGAATAATATTAAAATATAAATATTAGCTGATTAATTAAATATAGTGCAATATCTCACTGTATGGAAAAAAGAGGTTAAGATGGTAAAAACTAAAGCTCGTAAATTTATAATCTTGAAAACATTTATTTCTTAATTTGTTTACTATGAAATTGCAAAATTAATATTAAAAAGCTTATTAATTTAAATTTCTAGAAGAATTTTATTAATCAGGAAAATATATATATATATAAAAAGAAATTATTATAACAATAACTTGTTAAGAGCACACACCAACTCGTTGAGTGAATCACACGCCAACGAAAGACATATATATAGACATATATATTTATATATATATATATATAAATTTAATTAATAAGATTTAATGAGAAACCAAAACCTAAATATATAAATAAATAAACTAAAATAATAAAGAAGCTATTATATAAATAGAGAAATAAATTAAATAAAAGAAAAAGAGAATTGCATGAAACTTAATTAAATAAAAAGTAAATAATATAAAAAATAGGGAAAGATGAATAAAAGCAAATATATATATATAGAATATAATAAACAAAATTATTATTATATTTCATTCATTAAATGTAAGCTTATAAGAAATTATAGTATTTTATCCGATCTATTACCTTCGTTTTTATTATATTGAATCATATGATAATTCAATTGTATTTTCGAATAACACTGATTTATCATATTCAAGCTGCGAATGACTGATCCAAGAAATTTTTGAGAATTACTCGTTTGCCATGAAACACTTGCCTGGTGGTCGTAAAACTTTGTAATAAAATATCTTGAATTCTTTCACATGGTTATTTCGCATTTACTCAGTATGCTGCTAAGGCTTTTGAAAATTTAATATATTTTCTCGACAATATGTTCTAATATCGCAGTATAAATCAGTGCACGATGTTTTAGTCTTCTCTAGGCTTCACAAATAAATTCTTCAATACGGAATGTTGGCCGAAATAGAAGATTACCTCACATACAAGCATGCTTACATGCACCAAAAAAGATACCGAAATATTTTGCCATAATGCTGTTACGACATTTCCCATTTCGTTATCGAATTATTTAACACGACCTATTGAATAGGAATCACATTTCTTCCATCTCACTACCCCTCCATTCCAATTATCATATTCCTATCGGGGCGCAGTGTGATACTATACACGCATTACAGTTCAGACATGCCAACACGTTCTATACGATACTGCATTCAGAAAACTGTTATTTGATTGAATCGGTTATTTCAGAAACGGCAAATGTGCCATTATCAAAATTTAAAAAGGGCGAAAAATATTTCATACCTAAATTTATACATTCTTAGAAATGTCCATGAACTTGTTACCTAGAATAACTTTTAAATGGAAACAAAACATGTGTCTTCGTTCCTATTATAATATTAGAAGCTATTTCAACGGTATACATATTAATATTTTTTAACATGTTATATAAAAGGAATATCTTTTGTTGTTGAAAATACATTGTAAATAATAATAACAGTTATTATTAGTTTTAAAATAATAATAATAAAATAGTTTTAAACTAATATATACAATCTTCATATTATTCTTTTTTGTTTGTGTGTGTGTGTGTTAGAACCACAATATTCAAGAGAGTCGTAGAGATTTACACTTCAGCATTAAATATGCGCAAACAAAAACTATAATCTTATTAGTTTAATTTTTTAATAATCGTAATGGAAACTCCTTGCCGAATTAATATCAAATTACTGATTTACAGAAACTTGTCACTTACGCTTACTTTATTAATTTGTTCATGATATACATAGACGACGAATATAGACGGATATATCAAATGATAAAGGATAACGATATCATACACACATTATGTGGCGACTAAAACTAGATAAACGGGAGACCGTTAATAAACCTGTTTTCATAAATTCTTAAATAGAAGCTCCTAGCTGATCCTCCCAATGCCTATTATGCCATAATTAAGCTTCACACAAACCAGTAGAAGGTGTGAATAAAGAGGGGGAACATTAAATATATATATAATTAGTCTCCTAGATCTTCGTTCTTTAATATGCGAAATCAGATTCTAACATTAAATCGATTTGCGACCTAATGCAGCATAAGTGGCCCAAGTTGATGCTTTAATTTGGTATTTCATATATGTCATTGGAGTGACTATTTTAAAGACATCAAAGTCTGCTATGACCACTTAGAGAATATGGTCCCGATTTGCTTAAAAGCTTTTGTTGATCCAAGTTGAATCAACTGATGAATTTACATATATGTCTCTAGTTTTGAAATATCTGCGAGTATATGTGTTATAACTATTAATATTTTTAAAAAATTATTAATTTACAAGTTCATACTATAACCCATCTGGAACTACAGTCTTGAACTATAGGAACTGCTAAATTTTCGAATGTTAAACGCATGGAATCCTTCCAATCTAAAGTCTTTCATACAATAGTCAATGCTCCTTGTTATAGCACAAATAGAACTGTACGTCATCGCCTTAACATCCCTTATGTCCTTGACGTTATTCCATCCCGATTCTCAAATTTACATCAGAACCTAATCCATCATCCTAATGACTTTACAAATCCTTATCCAGTTCCAGTCATCGCTACAATCCTCCTCGAAAATTGAAACGGCAATGTCTCGGGATCTTTTGTAAACACGTTATTAGTGTCTTGGCAATGGCCAGCTTCTCCTCTCAAGTCATGAGCGTATGTTGCTTTAGTATCCTGTTCCAGTTTCCACTAGATATCCATCACAGTTACGAGGCTGAGAGAGAAGCGCTGGGATCTTCCTGAGTCTTGCCTTATCTTCGACAGGTGGGGGAAAGGGTCCGACTTGGAGCTCCCTCGGCTGACTGTAAGTATTGTAAATACGTATGGATGTGTTTTTATTTAATGTTGTCTCATGATTTATGTCTTCGGTTTTACAAAGTTTTCTTTTTCTTTTCTTTTGTTAAAATTTTTCTATTGTTTTTGTTATTGTATATATGTTATGAATGAGTCTCTCAAATATCCAATGCACTTAATTGAGGCAAAATGTATTTTTTATCAATAAATAAAGATTTAAAAAAATAATATTTTCGAAAGAAGCTGATTTGCTTCATTTTTATTTACAACACACAAATTTCAATTTTCGTTCCCATACTTAAATAACGTAGTTATTCACTCCATACACAATGGTATTAAAGGAGACATAATTTAAAAAAAAATATCCTTAAAATATATATTTCTAACACTTTAATTGATAAAATCAATTTAACATGCCATTTTTTTTATTTTTTATTATTTTATTTTTTTTATTTTTTGTTTGGGTCCTTCCCTTCCTAGCCGTTAAGGGGATTTACGGGATTTTCTCGGACCAGGGAGTGTGGGTGGGGATTTAAAAGACTCCCCCGGCACCGGGACGCGAACTCGTGACTATTTTTATATCTTTTTATTCATATGTCAGGTTGTCAGGCAACGGCGGTGCAGTGCACACGCTTTAGCCCATTCGGCTACCCCGCCCACTAATTTAACAAGACGTATAAAAATGTTACTTACCCACGATAAGTTTCCAGTAAGTTGGGAAAGGTGTGTCCAACCTGGATATTATTCCTGCAGACCTCTCCCTCTCATTGATGTTGAGAAGAGCTTGGTCTCTTGGAGACGCCAAGTCCCAGAAGATGGTTCTCCACTGGTCGACGCCATCAAGGTCTTTGGGCAAGAACAGTCTGTCTCCACCTGGGTCATAAAAGAAATATAATAAATGAATAGTGTAAGGAATATTTTTTTTTATATCTGTATTTTTTAGTATCTGTTTCAAATCCAGGAATAACTGATCCAATTCGTAGTATATACACTTTATATCTCTATAATTCATTAATGGTTTTCAGAATGGTTCAGGTCATGGTAAGTTTAATAGAATATTAATGTGATTGCAGTTTCTATGAAGTTAGTACTTTGTCTGTTAGTACTTCATATATGTCCATCTCAGACAAAATATCTACTAGCGTAGCTGTTGAATTAGAAATAGTATTTACATAGTATCTATAAATGATGGGATCCTTTTTTTTTGTTCCTCTCCTTTTAGACTAAGGGGGTGAGGGCGGAGGATTAATGCCAGAGTTAAAAAGTCTGGCCCCCGCCACAGGGATGCCAAGTCGTATGGATATAATCCACATTCATGTTGGTACGGTTTATAAACCGTAGTTTACAGAGGCTGGAATAGTATTGGTTGGGTCTTCAAATAACATGGGTTTTCCCCTCTGAAACAGGAGAGAAAATCATGTCTTCAATTAAAAAAAATAAGGTATTATCGCTTTTATACAAAGTCTGTTAAACCAGACCGGTCAGATACGAATCTAGTAAGACCGTAAACATGTTCTCGAATGGTCCATGATATGTTCCCTTTCTGTGGAAGTTTTCCATATATACATGGAATTATTTATTTATATATATATATATATATATATATATATATATATATATATATATATATATATATATATATATATATATATATATATATATATATAATCTATATAGTATATCTATAATTCATTTCAACATCATGAATGAGAAATTTTTATAAATAGTGACTTAGATCGTAATTTAGCTGAATCCAGGAAAAACCTACCAAACTCGAACCTTTGCCTTTACGATTAGACGGACTATCCAAATCACCTTTAAGGCTGAGAAGTAATAAAACTTATATTTCCAGCACATTTGCTGATTAATAACAAAAAGTTGACTGGCGCAAATACATTTTTTTAGGCAAAAAAAAATTGTGTACACTCATTCGGTTTATTTTATAAACCATTTATAGAATAATTTAGGATGGTAATATCTTGCTAAAATTATACGCAATTGAAAAAAATATTTCAATGTAATTTAATAATTTAATGATTTTTTAAATGTTGAAAACCTCAATAACACCATATTTTTAAATTATGTTAATCTTACATGTATTGGTTAGGTTATTGGTGCCTAAGTCCAGGATAGAGAATCAAGAGATGGATTTACGAGTTAATAGAATATAAATGTTCAGTCGGTGTTATGGATCATTATAGTATGAATTTCGAGTTAGATTTAACAAATTAAATATATCTCAATAGCATACTTTTTTTTAAATATTGAAGTTTTTAAATAAATAAACGAAGTTTTAAAATTTGAAACCAATTTAAAATAATTGTTTTTTTTCAGATAGTCATGCTATATAGTCATATATGCATTTATTATATATATATATATATATATGAAGTCCTACCCAATACTGGTACTCGTATTGGTAATGGTGGGGGAAATAGTTCGGTGAGCAGGACCTACCATGGTCCTTTTTTACCACCCCTGACGGCTACCTTGTTGCTACCGCGTAATTTCCAGAGTGGGAATGTCAGGGAGCGGGATGGCCGAGCGGGCTAAGGCGTGTGCACATCACCGTGCGTTGCCTGGCAACCTGATAACCGAAGTTTTGAGATAAACAAATAATGACGTGTTCGAATCCCGCTGCCCGGTTGGAATTTTAACTCAGTATAATTCCCCCGCCCTCTCTCTCAAACAATTTAAAAGAATTGTTATGTTTTCAGATAGTCCTGCTATATATTAACTGAAGTTCTACCCACAACTGGTACTCAGATGTTTAGGCCTTGTAGAGAGGAGGGAAGAAAATAGGTTGCCTAAGAAACTTCTCAGAGAAATCGCCCAGGAGGTGAACGCCTTAAGGAAAGACCAGAAAGATGGAACAACGGCACGGAAGAAGACTTTAGCCGTCTAGGAATATATTTTTTCTGAGGACCAGGTCCGTTAACGACTGTCAATATTAATAATAAGCTGATTATTTATAATATATTAAAATACTTCTCACAAAAAAATAAAGCCTCAAGAAAATAACTATTTGTAATATATTTTAGTAGTGTTAATACTGTACAAAATTTTCTCAGATTGGTCAGATAACGGGTGATTTGGTATAAAATGGCACAATATATTTCTTATTTTAATTTTAATGCATAAATGTTTAAGGACAGTCTACGATAAAGTGTAGATTAAAAAAAAAGCATTACAATATAATCAATACTATGTCTCTTGAAAAATAACTAACCTATACCATTACAATTAGGTCAATGGACTGCTATTTAGAGAAAGAGGAAACCAACATCAGTAACAACTTTATTTTTTGTAGTAACGCTTCGTTTTTAAGATTTCAACGCTTGTTCAAACAGCTAAACCTGTTTGGAATTTTAATCGAAGACATAGACATTGGAGGTATTAAAAAAAACCTAAGCACAGAATCACATGTCAACACAAAGATGACAAAAACGTAGAGATTCATAAAAGTGGGCAACTTTCAATTGGCCAAGGACATCGGCACTTTTACAGGTAGCGACAGTAATGGCTCCACACAAGGAAGCGAAAGGTGTTAAACTCTCAGGGCTCTATAGATCACAACTGTATCATGAGGAGAATGTGATTTATCGGTGCTCCGGTTTACGCGTGACCAATGATAACCGCCAGCGATGATGCGATAATGAAAAAGAACCGGTGACAACGAACTGTGATTTATGACGGATTGTTGACACAAGATTTAGTTGACCTAATGTTAGCTCTAACCAAATGAAATTGAAGAAATATATAACGTCTTCCCTGGATGAAACTATGTATGAATATCTTTAGAAGCACCGACATGGACAAGTCAGAACTTGGTGTTAATGCCCAAGTATCTGAACTTTAATTTGAAAGTAAGCTCACTAAATAAATCAGTGGAATGGAAATATGATTGTAATCTGTTTGATAGGCCTTGGGTGGGATGCTCATCTACCTGATATAGATGTTAAAACCAAATTAATAACTCTTATCTTCACTAATATATTATTATTAAGAGATTTTAGAAAAAGTGGTGGATGAAATTGATTGTTTGTTATAAGTACTTGAAATGTAGATTTAGGTTTTTAATCAGAATATGTAGAACAATAACATATTTTAATAAAATTTAATGTCTTGCCTTAAAGTAATTATATTAATGTTTTGTCAAAAAACGTTATATTTAAATTAACAAGGAAAAATGCTGCAAATTGTTACATAATGATTTATTATTTTCAAATAGTTATATGTCATATGCTACACTCCATTCCTTACCACTTAAAAGAAAATAAAGAAAATCTGTTTGCGAAAATTGGCATTTACATTTTTTTTTTTTTAACAGAGGAGATATACTTCGCAAAAGAACATCTGATAAATATTTAGGACGCGAATCTCTGTACTAAAAAACCACCTATTTTAATAATGTTTTTAATAGGATTACAAGGTTAATAAAAAGTTTATTCTTTTGAGTTATTTGAAAATCTGATTCTTGCATACTTCGTAACTTGTTTTCAGCTTGTTTTCGGGGAAGGATGTTACATAGATAAATTTAAAGGATAATACTGTAGTTATTTTTTCTAATTCGATTTTCAGATGTAATTATGCATCTGATCAGAATATATTGTGCATCAGATCTTGATACGTAAAACCTCAAATTTTTTTCTTGGTCCATTACAACGGTTCATTATTTAAAATAAAGAACCAAAATCAACTGAAATAAATTATCAACGAAATATTTTTTAACACAATTTTAAAAAAAAGGAGATTTTACGATGTGCAATATTTTTGGCTTGAAAAGTAAATGTTGTTCACTGAATAATATCCTCTAATTGTTTTTATTTTATTTTTTAAAACGATTCCTTATAATAACACTACTGAGAAAATATTGTAGAAGAGTCTAGAGCAGCTGATTTTCAGAGGGTATAGATGGATCGGAGATATTGTAAATACGTAAGCTTAGGAAACCTTGGAACGAAATAATATAAATCATAAAATTGTTTTCTATATATAAAGCAACAAAACGTAGATGTGAAAAAACTTTTATATATTTTTTCCTTTCTTATTTCTAATTCGCATCTGTTTTATTATTATGGATACAAACGAATTCCATATTAAAATGACAACAACATTTATGAACTGAAAATCCTTGACTTTTAAGCTACAAGGGTTTATCCCGGGCTGAGAGAGTGTGGGAAAATTATGACGAGTTAAAAGTCCAACCGGGCACCGATATTTGAACTCACTACTTAGCAATTATTTGTCTATATAAAACTTCGATTATCAGGTTGCCGGGCAACTCACGGTGCTGCACACACGCGTCAGCCCTCACGGCCACCCCACCCCAAAACATATCCTTAGTGAGCGCTTATTGTGGTAGGAGAGTAAACAAGTTTCAGGAGAGTAAACAAGTTTCAAATAATTGTGTTCGATTTTAAGGCTTTAAAACGCTGTGCGGTGGCCCAATGGCATCATATACTTGTAGCACGTAAAGTTTACTCATTTCCACTGCAGTCTACCACTGAAAAAAGGTTATTTACGTGAACGTGAAAAACGGCTTAAATTGTCTTAATAATTTAGAAGCAAATATCTAGAACTGAAACCCGAAACTATACTCGTAGGACTATAGGTAAGTTTCATAATGAAGATTGCGCCACGAAGTTGTTTTCTATTGTTACACTTCATAATATTATATATTAAAATTAAATAAAACGAATAATCCATTGACAGAAGGAAAATTAGTATTACCTGCTGCCGAATACAATGTCGGAAGCCAGTCGGTGATGTGGATGAAGCTGTTGGAGACCCGAGGGTTCTCTTGGAGTGCTGCAGACCAGATGAAGCTAGGGGACCGTACTCCGCCTTCCCACAAAGTCTCTTTTGCCTATGTTCGAAAAGATTAAAAGTTAAAAATTAAAAATATATTTACACACTCATTTATATTCATTATAATTATATTTATTTATAGAAACATATTAAGCAAAAAACAAATAGTTGGCAATTGCTATTCGAATTTGATTTACAATTACTTAAAGTCATGAGCCTACGCGTCAGAGATATATGGGACAGACAAGAAGAGCCACCACATACGTAAACTAAAAACATGTAAATTAAAAGCTTTCAAGACTGTAACCTATGAAGTTCCCATGTATGTCAGCGAGTTTACATTAGTTAAAGTACTATTACACAAGCCAACATTAAACGAACACATACCAGCAGTGTAAAAAAGATTTCAGTAGTAGCCCAGTCTAATTAGCACAAAAAAGATGGTATAGATTGCAAAATATCGGGTAATTCAAATTTCTCTTTTCTATTGTTAGGTTATGCTGTGGCTATAAAAAACGCAAGTTTCTACCATTGAAAGGCATGTTGGTTCACTGCAGTGCTCCAAAAACCATTGAAACTTCGAACTTTTTTTTGTTTCACGCTAAATATGTCCTTTTAAAAGTGACATAGATAAACGATGGTTATATTCAATCTTAAACAGCTAAAAATTACCTAATATTTTTATTCCTGATATTTTTTTCTAAACCCAACAAGAAGATAACTACCGAGCTTTCAAAAGTTACCCATTTCGATTTCTTTACAATAGTGCTCTTTCAGTTTTGAATGGACGAAATCCGTAACTCCATTTTGAACCTCGTTCAGAGAATTTGGAGATTTTCCTTGAAGATAATGACTCATTGACTGGAACGATAGAAGATAGTTCTGAGCTGTTTAGATAAGTATATTACATGGTGGGCCAGATCCCCCTACTGTGCAACATCTACTTACATCCTAATAAATTGAATATAGTTGCGTTTCCTGTAAATAATTATAAAAAAAAAAATTTCCTAGAAAAAAAAGCCGCACTGTTACAACTTCTTTGACTTGAGTTAGTTTTTCGGTCGTTGAGATTCAGCATTTGAATTAATTTCGCTGTAATTGGCCTTTTATTAGATAATAGTCTAGATAGTTAGAGAATGATAAAACATGAAAAAATAATTGGTCTTGGCAATAAAAACACCAATAAATTCAATTTCTTCAAGTCGTTCTAACTAAAATTTACTTAAAATTTACATAGCAGATTTACTTCATTGACTTAAGTTAGTTTTATCTCCTTTTAAAAGTGACATACATAAACGATGGTTATATTCAATCGTAAACAGCTGAAAATTATCTAATATTTTTATTAATGATATTTTACTAACAACCGAGCTTTTAGAATAGGTAATGTTTAAAAAAAATGTATTATTAATTTATTGTATTAACATTTGTTCGTCAATGCAATAAAATATTAATACTATCATTATGGCACTGTAACTATACCATTAATGAGTAATAATTGATGTGGCAGCGTACTCTGGACACCAATAACAGTGCCAATTTTTCGCTGATTAAGTGAATTTTCTTAGTAACTCCTTCAAATATTTTAAAAACTATGAGTGTTTTACAAATAAAAATTTATTCTCCAGATGTTTTATTTGGGGGCGTTTTTCGTTATTGTCGTCCACTTATTTTCAAACAACGTTTGATTTTAAATTTTAGTTAAAACGACTTGAAGAACTTGAATCTATTGGTGTTTTTATTGCCAAGGCCAATTATTTTTTTATGTTTTATCATTCTATAACTATCTACCCTATTCTCTAATAAAAGGCCAATTACAGCGAAATTAAGTCAAATGTTGAATCTCAATGATCGAAAAACTAATTCAAGTTAAAGAAGTAATTCTGCTATGTTTGAACGACATTTTGTAACAGTACGGCTTTTTTTTCTAGGAACATTGTTTTTTTTTTTTTTATAATTAGTTACAGGAAACGCAACTAAATGCAATTTGTTGGGATGTGAGTAGATGTTGCACAGTACGGAGGTCTGGCCCACCATGTAATATACTTTCCTAAACACCTCCCAACTATCGTCTACCGTTCCAGTCAATGGCTCATTATCTTCAAGGAAAACCTCCGAACTCTCTGAACGCGATTCAAAATGGAGTTACAGATTTCGTCTACTCAAAACTGAAAGAACACTATTGTAACGAAATCGAAATGGGTAACTTTTGAAAGCTCAATAGTTCTCTTCCTGTTTGGTTTAGAAATATATGTTATGTACAAAAATGTTAGATAGTTTTAAACTGTTTGAGATTGGATATAACCATTTTTATCTGTTTCTGTAAAAAGTTTAGAACACCGCAGCTAACCCACTAGGCTTTCAAAGGCGGAAACATGGATTTTTTATATTCACAGCATACCTAACAATATAATAAATAAATTTTAACTAACTGACTGTTAAATTAACCGGGTTCGAAAGGCAACATGTCTAATTTGACTGATCTATATAATTCCCACGAAAAAACAAACCCATTGATTCAAGACAATACATAAAATTTAAAAGACACGACACTTGACAACCACCTGACATCATTTAGCTGTTCTGATCTCATGGAATTCTATTCTATAGTTTTTATTTCTTCTTGATTGTTCTTACTTATGATTATTTATTTATTACTTTTAATTCCTTTCCGTTACAGAGTAAATAAACTTCTGTTCTTCTGTTCGGTAAATTATTATTACTTTTCTTTTGAAACAGTTGATTAGCTCTTCTGAGAACGTATGATTGGATTTGATCATAGTCCTTTGGAATGTCTCTTCATTACCAACTAATAAAACTATATCACCAGAAAATAAATATATTTTCAAAAATTATTCATATATTTCTCAAGCAACAGTACTCAATAAACCTTCCATTTTTACAATACAATCAGTAGGCTTGTATAAGAACTAACTCAGCAATATGAAGTTTTTTATTACTTTTTTTTAGTTGACTGTCGAAAACGAGCTATGATTTACATCAACGAACTAGGAATAATTAAAATGATTAGACTTTTGAACCAAATTATTTCAGAGAAACGCAACCGGTAAAATTTTTATGTATATTATAGCGAAAATATTGTCAGCACATTTTATAAACACTCGCAGACAAATAATAATATTGCCTTCTTTTTTTTTTTTTTTTTTATTCATTAGCTGACCATTACATTCCAATGCAAAATCACACTCATATAATATTTTATGTTCATTAAAAAAAACATATTATTTTTATTTTGTTTTACATCTTACATCTTTTACATTATATAACAGAAAGGAGTTGAAGAAATTCATTAAAATTGATACTACATCGTTTTGTACCAATTTATTTATGATTATTTATTTATTACATTTAATTCCTTTCCGTTACAGAGTAAATAAACTTCTGTTCGGTATATTATTATTACTTTGCTTTTGAAACAGTTGATTAGCTCTTCTGAGAACGTATGATTGGATTTGATCATAGTGCTTTGGAATGTCTCTTCATTATCAACTAATAAAACTATATCACCAGAAAATAAATATATTTTCAAAAATTATTCATAAATTTCTCAAGCAACAGTCCTCAATAAACCTTCCATTTTTACAATACAAGCAGTAGGCTTGTATAAGAACTAACTCAGCAATATGAAGTTTTTTATTGCCTCATACATTTTATTGCCTCATACATTTTATTGCCTCATACATACCTACCTCTCATAAGTCAAATCTAACGAGCTGTTTCTGAAATATTGACATATCTAAGATATTACGTTTGCGTTCGCATAAACAGAAGTACTAAATAGAATCTGATAAAATTGATATCGGACTCTATACGATAGAAACCGAACCAAATTTGATTCTTAAAACACGAGTGAAAATTTATTCGATTCTGAGTATAATTTTATTTTTTTAACCTCCCTCACGAATGCATATCTTCCCTGTTTCCCTGTGTACTTTGGGTAGCGAGGAAGCAAAATCGTTAGGAAATATGTGAATATAGTTACAACTTTTAAGCATTTTGAAATTTTGACTAAAGAAAAAAAGTCGAACTACTCCTTATCCACCGTACGTGTACATATTTTTTTCATCTCCACATTTATTATATATTTCCTCCAAAGTATAAAGATTTTCTTCTGGTTCTTGATGGGGCCACTGTTTGGACTAGCTGTTTGAAAAGCGAAGCGCTTCCACCTTCCAATGGCTCAATAAATTCTCCCTCCATCGTTATGTAAATATTTATCTGTGATTGACTCACTTCCGCCTCGAAGAACTATTTTGTATTTTGGCAAAAAATATAAGCAAAGGATAAGCAAACAACGACTAAAATAAATATCAAATCATAGGAAAATTCAAAATAAACTAGATTAATTTTCACCAGATTTTGAAAAATATATTAAAAATTGATTTACACGAATTGATGAGACTTATCTTTTAAACTCTATGCGATGATAGATGGTTATTTTATTTTACTTTAAGTACAACTGTTTTTTTTTTGTTTTTTTGTATTTTTAAATTTAGGATTTTTTATAGGTTGGATTTTAAATCTTTTTGTTTATCTTATGATGATTCATACTTATTAATATAAATGTACCTATGTTTCATTATTTTTATTTACTTTAAAAAGTTTTCTTTGGAATAAATTATTATTGTTTTTGTTTTCATCAAAACTCAGTTAGCTGTTTTTTTTTAATTTGAATAAATAATATTACTATTAAAACTTCATTAATGGTACTTCTTTTCATACCCTTTTTTGTTTTGATTTCTTCCGAATATTCAATATTTCAGCACATAGTACCACACAGCGATTTTTCACAGCGAAACCTTTCAGGAAATGAATCGCAAATAATTTATGATTTTTTTTTAAATGGAGCTTAGCTAAGTTTAGCCGCTCAATAGTGCTCTTTAAATAGTTTTAGCAATGGCAAGTTATACTAAATTTTAATGAAAATTTTGTCTAGTTTACAATGAAACAATCGTTAATCACTTAAATTTAATATTTCTCTAAAAAACAAAACACAAAACTTAAATTTTCTGTTTTTTTTTGTCGAAAATTGGACCA